TATTAATTTAATGGTTAATTTGCCACGTTCAACCCAACTGAGCCTATTCGAACAACAAAACTTTAGATATTGTACTAAATGTTAGACAAAACGCATATGTTAGAAAAATATTCATAATAATTTGGTCCAAAAACACATGGACGAGAATATTAATATGGGTCAAACCTCAGGAGCCGAAATATTTATTTTTTCCTAAAATTTAAAATAAAAATAACATAAACATTTGCTAGGAAAGAGTATATATTGTCATTTAAAAACTACTCACATGTCTCTCAAGCTTTTTCTACAATTTTAACGGAAATTCTCAGATAAAATAGATGGAAGGACTAATATGTTAGACAGAACTATATGTTAGGGATGTCATAATAATTTGTTTAAAATACATGGACGAGTATATTAATTTGGTCAAACCTCAGGGACTAGATAATAATTTTCTTTAAATAAAAGTAATAAAAAGACCTTGCCAGAAGGAGGAATTAAACTTTTGACCTTGTGGCTAATAGCCACATGCTTTAACCGACTAAACTATTCTCCCAACAAGATCTAAACTTTTGTATAAATATGTTAGACGAAACCATTGGTAAGGGATGTCATAATAATTTGTCAAAAATACATGGATGAGTATATTAATTTGGTCAAATCTCAGGGACTAAATAGTAATTTTTCCAAAATTTAAAATGAAAGTAATGAAAAGACTTCGCTGAAAGGAGGGCTTGAGAACCTCTGACCTTATGGTTAATAGCCACACGCTCTAACCAACTGTGCTATTCCAGCAACAAGCCTTAAATTTTTATACTAATATATTAGTCAGAACTATAGGTCAGGGACGTCATAATAATTTATCCAAAATACATAGACGAGCATCTTAATTTGGTCAAACCTCAGGGACTAAATAATAATTTATATTTTAAAATGATAGTAATAAAAAGATTCTACTAAAAGTGAGGGCTTGAATCTCCAACCTTATGGTTAAGGCCGCATGCTCTAACCAATTGAGTTAGTCTAGCAACAAGCTTCAAATTTTTTATACTAATATGTTAGACGGAACCATAGATTAGGAATGTCATAATAATTTGTCCAAAATATATGGACGAGAATATTAATTTGGTCAAACCTTAGGGACTAAATAGTAATTTGTTCTAACTTTAAAAGTAAAAGTAATAAAAAGATTTCATTAGAAGGAGAGCTTGAACCTCCAAGCTTATGCTTAACTGCACCACACTCTAACCAATTGAGCTATTCCAGCAACAAACTTTAGATTTTTGTAATAAAATGTTAGATAGAACCATAGCTTAAGGATATCATAATAATTTGTCCAAAATACATGGACGAGAATATTAATTTGGTAAAACCTCAGGGACAGAATAGTAGTTTTTCCTAAATTTTAAAATAAAAGTAATGAAAAGTTTTCGCTAGAAGGAGAGCTTAAACCTCCAACCTTTTGGTTAACAGCCACAAGCTCTAACCAACTGAGCTATTCTAGGGATAAACTTTATATTTTTGTACTAAAATGTTAGACAAAACCATATGTAACGTCCCATTTTTCTATTGAATCGAGTCGTTGCTTAGAGTCGAGTCGGGCTGATCCAAAACCCGGTTCGATCCATTAGATTCTACCATAAGACATTTCAGTGAAAAAAATCATGAAATATTTGCTCACTATGGTGTACCACTTAAAATTTTGAACCATATAAAAAAATAGAACAAAAAACATTTGCGCTTAGAATAGAGGCTATGAACCTTCCGAAGCACGGCGCTGTGGCCTGTTCATATACTGGTTAACCAGCACACGCTCCTATCGCGGAGTCCAATGGAGAGCTAATTTCAGACAAACTCTTCTTATAATTATTGTACTAATATATCAAGATTTGGAAATCTATTATAAGTAGGTTGAATTGATTTCTTTCTTATAAATTATATTTGCTTTGGCAAATACTAATGGACGATAGTTATATTAATTTACTGTCTGAATCTGCCTCTAACGTTTCATTGAACTAACCTGCAGATACTATTACGATGCACAATTAACAATAACTTTTAGATGGTGATTTTGGTTACACTATATTTGTTTAAGCAACAAAACTTTGCATATGTTTTCATTCCGATAAATTGGTATTTCTATTAATAGGATCATTTTTTGTGCTCTGAGTACGACAACTAACCTCCAGTTTGGTTTGAACCGTGGCCTCCACATGAGTTACGAATAACCGCAAGTATTCTGATATTAACGGAACTATTGATTAATTGATACTCCCATATAATGCTCTTTGTCCTAATTTTACGTAGGAGCAGATAATAAAAATATATTTTTTTAACAACAGATATTTGGTGTTTAAAAGATCACACAACATGAGAGCAGTAAACAATTGCTCGCTAGAATATGAGTGGCTAGAACGCGTCGCGACCTGGCCTGTTAATTCGTGGTCTACAACAGCGCGACACGGAGGCTGTTACACAGCGCAACTGAGCTTTCCTTAGCAACTAGAGAATAACTAAATTTTTGTGGAGCTTTAATATATTTTATAATTTTTATAGTAGGAAATAAACAATTAGATTTTATGTGCCCATTATGTACAGGTTAGAATATATTTTTAATTCTTCACAATACTGCGACGAAATATAGTTGAGCTATTCCAGCAACAAATTTTAAATTTTTGTACTAATATATTAGACAAAACAATAGATTAGGGATATCATAATAATTTATCCAAAATACATGGACGAATATATTAATTTGGTCAAAACTCAAGGACTAAAAATAAATTTTCCTTAAATTTGAAAATAAAAGTAATAAAATTACTTTGTTTAAAGGAGGGCTTAAACCTCCATCTTCATGGTTAACATACCACACGCTCCAACCAACTGAGTTGTTGCAATATTCCATGTTAAGTTTCTGTAAATTTCTAATAAATATAAACATGTAAATGTAAATAATAAACAAAAATTTCGCTAGAAGGAGGGCTTGAACCTCCGACCTTGTGGTTAACAGCCACACGCTCTAACCAACTGAGCTATTCCAGCAATCGCTATATCAGTTTCCTTGGTAATAATAGTTTTTAAAAATAAATATATATGATAGCAATATTTAATGGCAAAAAAAAAATTAAGAAAAAACAAAAAGTAACCGCAATATTATCTTGTTTTAATATTTGTTTCGAGCTGCCGCGGATCATCTTTTTTGGGTCACGCTTTTCGTTCCTTTTCATTGTTTTTCTTTAGTTTCTTTTCAATAATTTTCAGATTTGTAATCAATTGAAATAAATTTTTGTATTTAGTCTTTTAGATCTATTATAGATTTTGAGTGTTTTTCCTACCCTCTTAGTGGATTATGTGCTTATGATTTGATGTTTCTCTCTTTCCATGGGTGATTCTTTGTCGTTGAGAAGTTTTTACGAGTGTTTGTGATTTTTTCTTTATTGGCAGTTTGAAATACAAGATCGATTGTTGACTGACTGTGGATGAAGATTTCAAGTTTGGATAAGTTTATTTTATCAATGGAGCTCATAGTATAAAAAATTAATAGTTTAAACTGCTCTGCGAGTCTCAAATGTAATAAGTTTTTAAAAGTACAAAGCTTCGGCCAATATTACAAAAAATTTCTTTTGTCATGCTATTTCAAGGACTAGCATTTACATGAAAGATTAATATCTTCTGCTAAAATCATATATTTCAATTTTCTATATCTGTATTTTTTATTCCTATGAGTGTAATCTATTCATATTTTTCATTAATGAATTGTGAACTAAAAAAAAAGAAAAAAAAAACTAAATCTTAATTCCAGTAACTATTAGCTGAAAGTTACTAACTCTGTTTCATAATGATATTTGTCACATTTGAAATTTCACGTTCGAAAACCATTAAATTTGTATAAGTTGTAATAAATTATCGAGTAAATTTGTCTATATTGCCCTTAATTTAATATTAATTTTTCAAAAAAACCATTAAATTGAAGTAATAATTATTAATCATATACAAAAGATAAACATGGAAAAAAAATATTTATTACTCCTTGAAACCACAAATATGATAAGTATTTTGGAACAGACTATTTTCTCAAATGTGACAAGTATTACGGAATAGAGATAATATATTTAAAAAAAACATTAAATACAATTTAATTTTCCATTTGCCAACCAAATTCCCATCACATTTCCTCATTTTTCGTTTCATTTCTCATGATTGATTGAAGAATTCCTAAGCTATAGAATACAACTAGCCAAATACGCGCGCCTTGCACGGATTATAAGGAATCCAAAAAAATATCATAGATTCACAATTGTATTCTTAAATTTTGATGTAATTACTTAAAATGTATTAATTAAATTCCAATACAATTAGAAATCTGTAATTCATTTAACACTATAGAGTTTAAATAAGTGTTTAGCATACTATTTCTTTGTCAATCTAAATATCAAAGAAAATAGGTATATTAATATTATTAATTGCATTATTAGAGAAAATAGCTCAAAAAGTTTTATTAGTTAAAAAAGAGTTTAATTGTGTTATTAATTTTATTAATTATTAAAAAAAACCGAAAAACGTACCATTAGTATTATTAAAAAATATTAATTTTACCTCAATTAGTGTTCAAAAAAAAAAAAAAAAGGAAAAAAAAAAAAAAAAGGAAAAGATAAGTGCCAAATTAAGCAACATTTTAAAGGGGGTCTAAAAAAAAAAAAAAAAAAAGGAAAAGATAGTGCCAAATAAGCACTTTAAAGGTCTAATTGCATGCCATGTCAACTTTTAAGTTACTGTTATTATGTATTTATATAGATAGATAGATAGATAGATGGATGGATTGAAATACACGAAGTTAACGGATAACATACAGAAAAAGTGACACATGATTCAGCAGAAGCAGAAAAGGCCACGCAGTAAATTTGGGTGAGAGCCTCTGACTAGTAAATCCCACGTGATGAAATAATGAAACAAAAAACAATTATTATAGAGAGCAATTTTAGGTCTTGTTGATAATCATCCATCCCAAATAACATCACAAATAATATCAGAAAAAAAATTAAAAAATAATAATGTTTTTGCACAAAATTTTAGCTCTATCCCAAAGAATAATAATTTATAAGAAAGTATCAAGTCTGCTTTTAAAAACAAAACAAAACAAAATCAAATCAAAAGAGGGATATATCTCCAACTTCCATTTCCTATTTGATCTTCTCCATTTTCTAAAAGATCTAATTCTATGGGACAAAATTATAACAATGGCTTTCACCTGCCATAACAGAACCTTGTTTACGGCTCCAAAACTACAATGATCAACTGTTAAAATTTCATGCAGCAAGGACGTGCAGAGTTGCATTCAAACGGAGAAATGATCTGATAAGGCTTGCAAAACATCAAATGAAGACAGATAATATCAATGTCTAACCATTTATCTTCGACTACTAGCTGTTTTGCCCTTGCTTAGATCTGCAAGCTCCTCAACGAGTTTTCTCTCTTCGCCGCTCAATCTTTTAGGAATTTCGACTTGTACACGAACCAACTGATCACCTCTCATGTTGCTTTTATTTAGCACAGGTACTCCTTTCTTTGCCATTACAAGTGTGGTGTTGGGCTGTGTTCCAGCTGGGATCTTGAGATCAACCATGCCATCAACAGTTGGGACCTTGATTGTTGTACCCAAAATTGCATCTATGTATGACACCTTGCAAGTGTACAAGATGTTGGTGTCATCACGTTTTAGAACAGGATCTGGGATGACTTCAATAATAACAAAGAGGTCACCAGGTGACCCACCTCTCCTTCCAGCATTACCTTCAGAACGGACTCTCAAACGGCTCCCTGAGTCTACACCAGCTGGCACTTTTAAACTGATACGTTTTGTCCTCCTTACTCGACCGTCCCCAGAACATGTGTTGCAAGAGGTAAATGTTTCCCCAGTACCACCACATGAAGAGCAGGTCATTACCTGCTGGAAGACACCTAATGGAGTCCTTGCAGAGGAGACAACCTGGCCTTGGCCACCGCATGTAGTACATGTAGATGGCTTTGTCCCCGGTTTTGCACCTGAACCATTGCAAGTTGCACAGCTTTCCAGTCGAGTTATCTCAATCTCTTTTTCAACCCCAAAAACTGCTTCCTTGAAAGTTAATACAAGATTGTAATATTCATCCTGGCCATCAACTGCTCTATTCCTGGAGCCTCTCGCTCCCATGCCACCCATGCCTCCCATGCCTCCCATACCTCCCATGCCCTCAAATAGCGACTCAAACAAATCAAAAGGATTGCTGAAATCCTGCAATACAACAAAACCAGTTTAAACCATGAAAAAGCCAAAGATGATGGAAAGAATATTGACAGATCATTAACTCTAACAGACATGATTTCATTCATCATCTATGGAAATTAACTTACCCCCATGCCCACACCAGCACCTTTGAGTCCAGCCTCACCATACCTGTCATACAGAGATCGTTTCTCATCATCTGATAAGACCTGCAGGAAAAATTAAAGCTTAGAACATGTAGACCACGGCCACAAAAAAAAAAAAAAAAATGTCTAACAAGAACATATGATTTTCACCCTTCCATTTCATCTATGGAAAAAGCCCTTAACATTTACCCCCATGCCCACACCAGCACCTTGCGAGTGCCCATGCCCTCACCATTCACCTGTCACTTACAGAGATCGTTTCTCTATTGCAATCTGTGAGAAGGATAACTGCAGGAAAAATTAAAGCTGCCACGCCTCCTTACATCCTGCCTTATAGAACATGCTAGACCACACCGAGCCCACAATAAAAAAAATATATAATATAAATACATTTCAATCACACTGAAGACCAAAGAAAGTCATTACCACACTCATAAAACTTTAACCTCACTATGCATTGCATAACTTTCTCTTGAAACTTTCTGCTTCTTGCCCAGGTTCTCCGTGCAGCCATATGCAAAAGACATTCTTAAAATTTCAAACAGGTCTTGAATATCAGGTCTTCTTCCATTCATGTTAGATAGAATAAGTAATCAAATTTGGCCAAATCTACAACTTGTTTTCTGCAGTTCTATAAACAAAAAAATAATACTCGCGCAGGGATATAGAGTATATAAACTCACACATGATAAGATCAACTTTAACTAGCATCCTTCAAGCAAGGCAATCCTTGAGAACTTTCAAAAAAAAAAAAAAAAATGTTATAATTCAATCATAAACCAGAAAGCATAACCACTATTAAACTTTTACCTCATATGCATTGCTAATTTCCTTGAACTTCTGCTCTGCCCCAGGTTCTCTGCAGCATAGAAAAGAATTTAAATTCAAACAGGTCTTGAATATCATCTTCTTCCATTCATGTTAGATAGAAAAGTAATCAAATTTGGCAATCTACAACTGTTTTCTGCAGGTTCTCACTCAACACAAATAAACTGCAGAATTGTGTTTACAATCACAAAATGTCAGATCAACTTTAACTAGCATCCTTCTAAGCAAGGCACATCCTTGAACTTTCTGATACTAGATATTATTGTTAGTAAACTAATGTTGATATGCACCCATCTCTAAACACAATCCGCTTGACAATGAATTCTTGCTTTCTTACAAATTTGGTCAGTTTCACACAGGAAGCTTAAATATCCATAGGACACGACAAAGAAGAGAATCTTTTTGAAAATGTTAGGGCCCAAATATATGAGAAGCTTCTTCATTAACCTTTGAACTACAGCGAGAGAGACCAATGGTTTTGTAAACCAAGTGGGAGTAGTAAATATATATTTCTGGTCTCAGTCGGCAAAATTAGGCAGACCTCAATTGTATATTTTCCTTGAAAAAGTTATATATAAGAAACGGTTATGAATAGAATCTAGAGCTTCATGCACATTGTTGTGGAAGTTTGTATTGGACAACCTAATTGAAATATTGAGCTATCCTGAAACAGCACTTGAACAATTAGATGTTGTGCATCCCATATTTTCTTGAATTCAGAGATGATTGAAGTGTCCAAATATCATTGTTTGTCTTCTAGAGATGATTGGTATAACCGCAGAGTATCAATATTCTAGATTATCTCCCATGATCCTACTCTACTGAAACATGATCCACTAGCACCAGTGCATGCCATAGGCCAAACACTGCAAAGAAGAAAAGGGAGAAGACTGGGGAACAGCCAGTGAATCCACATGATCTTCCATAGCCTTATCCACATCACACACACCTAAATCTAATCTCGGCATCTCCAAAAGAATGAAAAGAGTGACATTTTACATGTGGCATACAGATAGTTGTACTAATAAACCGTACAGTCCACAATTCAATAGAAAACAAAGAACAGTATCTCAGTTTGCTATAAGATAAGAAGGAAATGAGTACAGCAGAGGTGATGAAGGGGGAGGGTCATTCTCATATAGAAGAAAACTTACTTGTTCACATCTGGATGATAACTCCTTGCAAGTTTCCGGTATGCTGAAAACCAACAAGGATAAAAGGAGTTAGTACATCTTAAATAGGATAAGCCAATATTGATTATGCTCCCTTTATTTTTTGAGCTCCAATAGTAAATCTACCAAGAACGTTATGTTCATCCATAAATATGCCTTTCAAATATACTTTCATTTGAAAAAACTAGCTTTAGATCAGCAAAGGTCTGTCATAATTCATATTTTTACTACCTTATACAGGTCAATGTGGCAAGACTCAACATGGTATGATAGAATTGATTCCGGCCCAAGGCCCTACAAGGTTTATACTAGAAGAAGATAAATGGCTGATACAGTCTCCAGGCCAAGCCCATGCAGATTCCTCTGCCCAAAATAATTGAATTCCCAAAGATGCCCTCATCATTCTCTTTGCTTCCTTATATACTGCTGGGTGATGATTTGATAGCTAACTTGGTGACGTGTATTCCTTTGCTTGGTCCCCAATACTCACACATTCAATTACAGCTCCTTTGTTTCTTCTAGCATACACCTTGTAGGGCCTTGGCCAGAATCAATTCTATCATGGTATCATCTCTTAATCAACTATATCTGTTGAATTTTGTAAAGATGCAGTAATTCATACCAAAAGATTTTATTTCCACATGCAAAGATGATAAGCACTTTAAAGCAAGTTTGCATACCAAGACAAAAATGATATCCACCAAGAATGATGCAAAATGTGCATTTACATAAAAAGATGAAAAATTATTTCCAAAATACCACGGGCAACAAGCAAATTATATTCAATTGGCTTTAAAGAGAGAAAATAGTTCACATATCAATATAATCACAATGTTATATCCACCAGATATGATTTAAGCTGTGTATTTAGCAGAAAATGCAACACCATTTCCAGAAAATCATGGGCACCGTCCATGATAGTATTTAACTTCTCTCTTCACCAGAGATTCAAGGAGCAAAATAAAAACTGAAGTACCAAATTAGGAACTATCAGAGTACTATGTGTTGCGTAGTTGATCAAATCAACTGATCTTTTATGATTGCTGACCTCCTTACCCCCACCCCCCCAAACAAACAAAAAAAAAAAAAAAAAAAAAAAAAAAAAAAATTAGGAACTTATCTTATATTACTATGTGATTGTCGTGTTGATCAAATCAACTGATCTTTTTATGAGTTGCTGACTCCTTACCCCACCCCCCCAATACAAATCAAAAATATAAAAAAAAATAATATAAAAGAAAGAAAATAAAAAAGACACTCCATTCAACCCCCAAAGATGAAAGAAGAAGAAGAAGAAGAGAGACATTATTGAAAACTCCAAGGCCTTGTTTCGTAATTGATTTGATCCCAGTTTTTCTTGGACCCACCATATATTTCTATAAGAGTACTTATATATTTAAAATTCCTAAGAAAAGTAGAAATTTATTTTTTGTTCAGAACATAATACCCACATTAGACAAGTGATGGGTGGCACCGGTGGTTATGTGTGTGTTTTTTTTTTTTTTTCTGGTGGAGGAAGTTGGGAGGCGAGGGGTCTAGGTAGCAGTCGATTTTTTTTTTTTTTTCTGGTGGAGGAGTTGGGGAGGAGGGGCTAGGTAGCAGTCGAAATGACAATGGAGGAGGTGGGGTGGTAGTGGCAACAGTAAGGAATGAGGGAAGACGGTAGTAGTGAGTATATCCTAAAGAATAAAGAACTAAGAATTAGAATTTTCGAAATAGTTTAGAATGAGTCCCCAAAATTTACCCACTTTTCATACAAGTACCAAATCTGTTTATTTATTTTTTCAGAAGATTATTCACCTACACCTTAAGTACAAATTCCTACTCTATCCAACTTTCCAACTTATTCAGGTTCAAACCTCAAACAACCCATTACAATCATCATGTTGAAATGAAAACATAGGCAACCTTCTCCCCAAAAGAGTAATATAAAAATAAAAAAATAAAAAAAATCAAAAGGTTTCTTTGAAAGGAAGTTGAAGTCACAATTACACAGATGTATGCAATTTAGGGAGTTCATTTATTATCTCTTGTAATTTTCCAACATCAGACAAGTATTCATTTATTATCTCTTATAATTTTCCAACATCGGACAAGTACTTTCAGTTAAGTAACTATTGAGTTTGTTGGTAAAATTTATTTAACAATTGTAGAAAAAGCATAATCAAATTTGAAAAAGAATTGCACGCTCTTCAAGTACTTATACTAGAAGCTATTAGTAGTTGAAATAATGATGAAGGAGATGAGTTGGTAGTGGCAACAGTAAGGAATGAGGGAAGATGATAGTAGCGAGTATACATCATTTCTGGTCATAACAAATGCCCCGTGAAGAATAAAGAAACATACGAATGAAAATTTTGAAATAGTTTAGAATTCAGTTCCCAAAATTTAGTAGTGGCAACAGTAAGGAATGAGGGAAGATGATAGTAGCGAGTATACATCATTTCTGGTCATAACAAATGCCCCGTGAAGAATAAAGAAACATACGAATGAAAATTTTGAAATAGTTTAGAATTCAGTTCCCAAAATTTACCCAACAAGTACCAACTTTATTTTATTTTTTTTCTGAAGATTATTTACCTATTCCTTAACAACAAAAATTCCTACTCCATCCAACTTATTCAGGTCCAAGTCTCAAACAATCCATTATGTCATTATGTCAAAACGAAAACATAGGTAAAAAGCGGTTCACCTTCTCCCCAAAAGAATAATAATAATAGTTAAAAAGTCAGAAAATGAACTTTGAAAAGAAGTTGAAATTACAATTACACAGAGCTATGCAATTTATTGAGTTCATTTATTATCTCTTGTAATTTTCCAACATCAGACAAGTATTCATTTATTATCTCTTATAATTTTCCAACATCGGACAAGTACTTTCAGTTAAGTAACTATTGAGTTTGTTGGTAAAATTTATTTAACAATTGTAGAAAAAGCATAATCAAATTTGAAAAAGAATTGCACGCTCTTCAAGTACTTATACTAGAAGCTATTAGTAGTTGAAATAATGATGAAGGAGATGAGTTGGTAGTGGCAACAGTAAGGAATGAGGGAAGATGATAGTAGCGAGTATACATCATTTCTGGTCATAACAAATGCCCCGTGAAGAATAAAGAAACATACGAATGAAAATTTTGAAATAGTTTAGAATTCAGTTCCCAAAATTTACCCAACAAGTACCAACTTTATTTTATTTTTTTTCTGAAGATTATTTACCTATTCCTTAACAACAAAAATTCCTACTCCATCCAACTTATTCAGGTCCAAGTCTCAAACAATCCATTATGTCATTATGTCAAAACGAAAACATAGGTAAAAAGCGGTTCACCTTCTCCCCAAAAGAATAATAATAATAGTTAAAAAGTCAGAAAATGAACTTTGAAAAGAAGTTGAAATTACAATTACACAGAGCTATGCAATTTATTGAGTTCATTTATTATCTCTTGTAATTTTCCAACATCAGAATACTTTCAGTTAAATAACCTATGAGTTTGTTAGTAAAACTGCTTTAACAAATGTGAAAAAGAATAATCAAATTTGAAAATGAATTGCATAGTCCAGGTCCTCAAAGTACAACTAGGCAGACAAGTTCACTAGAAACTAACTTTGATACTAAGGCTCCATTTGTTTGTGGGAAACACTTTCCTTTCAGCATTTGGAGCATTGGAGAAATTAGTCAATTAAAATATTTTTCCTGATCAAAGAAAAACTAAACCATTGTCAAGAAAATAAGTTCTTTGTAAAATATTTTCTAAAGAAAATATTTTCTAGAAAAAGATTTCCAATAATAAGTTATTTTCCGTGAAACAATTGAAGCCTAAATGAGAGTTAGAGAACTTCTGAGTAGATCTTTTAATACCCAAGACAAGAAATCCATAGAAGAAGCTAAAACAAAAATAAAAAAGGAGAACCTATGGGTGTGCACTATTCAATTATAACTGAATAACCAAACCAAACCAACAATGAAATTATTTCGGTACGAAAGAATTCAATTTTTGGTTCAGTTATTGATTTATGAAAAATTGGTTTTAGGATATCAAAAAAAAAAAAAAAAGGAAACAATAGAAAAACATGGAAGAAACACACAAATTTAAAAAAAAAAAAAATGGCAACAAAAGTTGTATTTTAAGATATTGGATTAAGATAGAAAAGAGTAGAATCGCGAAAATGAAAAAAAAAAAAAAAAAAGATTAAGATAGAAAAGAGTAGGAATCGCGAAAATTGAAAAAAAAAAAAAAAAAAAAAGAAGGAAAATAGAAAGGAAATATAGAGAGAGAAATTGAGAGAGAAAAATCTGATGGCGTCGTTGGCCAACAAACTAGACAGATTGCAGAGGTGACTGCTAGATGAAGGCAGTGGGAGCTGGATTATAAAGGGCATAATCATTGCCGTTTAAAAAAAAAAAAAAAAAAGAAGGAAAATAGAAAGGAAATATAGAGAGAGAAATTGAGAGAGAAAAATCTGTATGGTCGTTGGCCAAAAACTAGACAGATTGCAGGAGGTGACTGCTAGATGAAGGAGTGGGAGCTGGATTATAAAGCATATCATTGGTTTTTATGATATAATGACAAAACATTATATGGCCAACCCAAGCTAGTTTGGGATTAAAGCCTAGGCGGTGGTGTTGTGTTGTTGTAAACAGATGCTGGCTAGACAGCTTTATTTTGAAAGAAAATCCTAGGTGACTTGTTCAGGAAAACAAAAATTTAAAAGCGCGATTGTCTTGAGCCTAGCAAAAAAGGCGCAAAAAGGCACACACCTCTATCCAGAGGCAATAGCCTGAGTGAAATTGCCCGCCTGAGGACTGTTGAAGGGCAAGTCCTTGAGCCTTAAGTCAAGCTCGCCTCCTTAACAACTATGACATTACACAGGTTATCCTGCTAATCTTTATTGAATTTGGTTATTATTTAAGAGGTGTTAAAAGATTCAATTAATTAGAAATTATTTTGGTTTAGGGTTTCAGTGAATTGAATCACACCTCTTAAAAACCACAAAAAGGAAGATAAAAAATAGAAGAGTCAATACCACAACCAATACTTTAAAATAGCAAAAAGATCACAACACCACAAAATGAAGACAAATCAATAAGGAAAGCCAAAAAACAAGCTTCAAACATTCAAATTAGCTACTCATTTATAGGAACCAACTTCTATAAAACAGGTAAAAGATAGAGATGACAAGATCAAGCTTTTTCTTTGATGCATACACCGCCAGTTAAATATGTAGAATTTCACTATTTTAACATTTGGAAAGTCAATGTCAAGTTTATCCAACTATGGAGGAATAAGATAGTGAGAAAATGAAAAAAAAAAAAAAAATGCAAGTTAAAGACAAAACAAGTTTTTATTTATTTTTTATCTAGATTTGACATCCAACATGTACTGAAAAATTTCAAGTACAAAAGTCCTCCAAAAGTCAGAACTCGAAAGACACATCATCTCCATTCTCCAATTAGGCTCTATTTTTCCTTTTATTTTTCTACTTTATTCCTTATTATTCAAATACAAAATATATCTGTTTTAGTCAATATGTGCCTTGTGTCCACTAGGAGAGCACCTCATACCTTAGGCTTCAAAACCCTTCATGCGTTAGCATGTTTTATTATTTTCCTTTTAGTATGTGTATCACTTTCTGATGTTAGACTAATTATCCTTTTCAGACATATTTTTTCTTCTCTAGAATAGAATTTTTTTGTTCATAAAATAAAAATAAAAACCTCCATAGTAAAGATCAATGAAAATGAAACTAAATTATTTTCCTACAACTACTTATGAAATTTTAGGTCTTTAAGGCTTCCCAGGTGTAAAACAGCAAAGAGATGTTAAGTTTACACAAAAATAAAAAAAGAGTACAAGCATGCATACCACTTTTGATTTCAGATTTACTTGCATTTTTTGACACTCCAAGGACAGAATAGTAATCCTGCAATTCAGAAAACGTTCATGCTCTGAGTAAAAATATTAGAAGGATGTCAACTATGATATCAGGCAAGTATTTGGAAAGACAGGGAAAAAGGAAAGGTAAGACAGTAAATGCGGCCTTTGTCATCATCATGAAGCAATATATACATAAACCATTTTGCACTCACAGCATCAGCTCTAACTGTAAATCGTGATCCCCTTCGACGATGTGAAGTTTGAGATGGCCCAACAAAAGATAATACAGGAAAGGAATCACGTGAAAATAGGCTTGAACTTGGTGCTGCCAAATAGCTTGTCTTGCCATTAAGACTGCACAATGGTTTTAAATGCACTGAGTAACCTTTCAATTAATCTAGATCTAAAGTTTATTCTTACTATAGAATGAAAAATGTCATGCGTAAAAAATAAAAGCTTTATGCACCCTATGACACAAAAATCTCACTAGCAAAATACAAATCATAATAATATGTGCTGAAGCAGAAAAAATAGAAATGAAAACTACAACAACAACGACTACTAGGAAAAAAATTCTGCTAAAATGCTTTCTGTTATTTGACAAGCTAAAAGAAAAAAGCATATATATGACATGAACCATTAGGACGGCCCAAAAGGTTACATCAATAACAGTAGGTAATCATTGCTCCAATTTCCAGCAGGGAAACAGGCTACAGCATGCCTGATAAACCATTCTTCATAGCTAATGTGTTGCTTTCTTGACTTCTGCCTGTATAAGGTACCACATGCTAACTTCTTTTCTCATAAAGAATGATATTTTTAGCGACAAAAAGGACTGGATTCTAGCAACAAATCCATTTTGTCAACAGCACTGTGAGATGTGCTCTGATAAATTCAATTCTATTTTGGTCAATGCAAGAATTTAAAGAACTAAAAAGCCATATGTCTAACCCAAATACATTAAAAGGACAACTTGCAGATGGTAGAGTACAGATTCTTAGAACTTGTAGAAGTCCTCAAATTAGGATGAATTGAAGATAAATAGTGTTTTTTACAACTACCAGTCACAAAAAGATTTGAATTTTCACAATAAAGCACGTTATTACAATATGCTAATTTAAACTAAGGAACTTTTAATGGCATAGCAACGGTCCCAAAGACAGAAAGTCCCACTAAATTAGCCAATTTCCTACTTCAGGTTCTTTTGTATCCACATATATGTATGTTCATAAGCATACAAGAGAAACTTGAGAAAAAGAAAATTAAAGAAGAAAGAACATCCTCACCCATACTGAGTAGTCACTATCCTGTTTTGGATATAAGATCTAAGTATGAACTGAGGTCGAATACCCCATTGAGCAACTGATGTGCTTCCACAAGGTATAATTGCCATCCAATAGATTTTCACAAACAAGATGGTTAGATAATGATTATACACCTGAAACCCTAATCAACCTGAAAAGCATAAAACTTTGAGATTTAGTTCATAGCATATAGTAGAATCTGAAGTCACTGAATAATGCTATTCAAAGAATATATCATATCAAAATGACATGTATGCAATTTCCTAAATATTGCACCTAGAGAGCAATCCCTTCGATGAATGCCTCAGAAAATTAAAGGCTTAATATTACCACTAAAAGCAATATCCATGTTTATAAAAGAAATAAAAAATTAAGCACAATCACCTGCAACCGAAGTTCATGTCTTTGATACATTAGACGATAAAACGAGCACTTCCATTCCATACCGGAACTTAAACCTAAGAGAGATTTATTTCCACCCTTTACCACTGGGTTTTTGAATTGGGGAAAATGAAATGACCCTCATTCACAAGTTTCTTAAACCACGATAATATGAAATTAAATATAAAATAAGAAAATGTGAAGAGAATCCTACAAAGAATTTTTACTATGGCAGCAGCAATAGCTTCTCAAAATGAGCTTCAATTCCCTATATTTAACCATTACCACAAACCCTTATTTCCCCAAAAGTTTTGGAAGTAGTTTTTCCTACGCCGTAAAAGCCACGAACAGAAATTTAAGTTTCAAAAAGCAGCAAAATCACTTCCAGAATGAAACTCAAAATGAAAATAATAATAATAATTTAGTAATAACAAAACTCAAGCAACCCAATTAGAATTTATCCAAATAATTACTACTTTCAGGTACTCAATATCTGAAACTAATCGATTTCGATTATGGAAATAACCCCAAAACTCAAACACGAAGGCATACATAAAAACTATCTATACAGTGCATGAGGACGACATTAGAGGAGAGAGAGAGAGAGAGGGAGAGAGAGAAAGAGGGACCTGTTTGTTACGTATCCAGTCGAAGAACAACGGTGGCTTCTTTTCCAAATTCTCGCTCGGAGAGAGAGAGAGAGAGAGAGAGATTGGTGAGTTACAGGCAAGAATTAGAAGCACACAGGAGCAGGTGAAGGATGAGGCTATATTTTTCTCATTGAAGAAGATGAATATTTTCTCGTTTAATCAGGGCTACGGTTCCCTGCCTTTGTCACTCTAGCCATCTCCCTGTAACCTAATCATCCGCCGTTCACTTGGTTAACGCTTTAAATCAATTTTCCTGATTAAAGAAAAGAAGTAAAGTATTTAAAAAAAAACTACTCTCCCCCCCCCCCCCCCCAAAAAAAATTTATCAGGGGCTACGGTTCCCTTGGCCTTGTCACTCTTAGCCATCTCCCTGTAACCTTAATCATCCGCCGTTCACTTGTGCTAACGCTTTAAATCAATTTTCCTGATTAAAAGAAAAAGACAGTTAAAGTATTTAAAAAAAAAACTACTCTCCCCCCCCACCCCCCCAAAATCCCCCCCCCCCCCCCCAAAAAAAAAAGCCCATTTTGCCAAAAAAAAAAAAATCCAATTTAATGTCTTTTTATGAATCAAAGTAATACAATATTTTTACTTTCAAATATACTCTTTAAGGTCAGCATTCGATTCGGCAAATTCAATTTAGTGAATAAATATTCGGTTAAAAGTTTAGTTTGATCGGTTAAAGGTTCGATTAAAAATTAATTCAACCGAATTAATCAAATTAATAAATTTCTAAAACTACATTATTTTGATTAATTAGATAATAAAATTAAAAAGAAATAAAAGTCAATTCAGTCCCTGAACTTGTTCAGTAAGATCAAAAAGGTTATATTTGACTTTTTGGGTTAACCCTTGAACTTGTATATAATGATTAAAAAAATTTAATTTCACTTTTTATGCCAATTTAATTCTTGAACTTATTTAAAATGATTAAAAAATCATATTTGACATTTTAAGTCAATTTAACCTTTAGTTCTTCATTGTACTTACAACGTGAAAATCATTATATATATATATATTTACTAAAACTGTATTTGAAATCGAGCTGACTAATTTATTAAAAAATTAATTAATTATAAAATATAGAAAAATGATATATGAAGTATATTATATCTCTCTTTACCTTGATTGATGGTTTTGTACAAAATGATATATGAAGTATATTATATCTCTCTTTACCTTGATTGATGGTTTTGAGTTTAGAAATCTGTATTAATTTGAACATTTTAAAATTAATATGTATTACTGGATTATCACTTATGAAATCTATATTTTTTATGTTGAATAAATTAAAATTATAATGTATGTTTATAAATTTATTATATTACAAGAAACGATGTTTTTATTAATTTTAAATTTATATTCATAAGTATTAGAAAAGTTTGATATGAGTGTTCTTAATGTATGATAAAAAGGGATATAAAGTCAATTAAGTTAAATTAAATAAATTATTAATTTATAAAATCAAAACAAATTCAAGAATTAAATTAGATTTTTTTAATCATTTTATATAAGTTCAAGGGCTAAATTGGCAAAAAAATGTCAAATCTGACCTTTTTTATTTTGCTACATAATTTCATGGACCAAATTAAACTTTATTCCAATTAAAAATAAAAATATTTCAATTTTTATTTTGATTAAGTAGTAATCAATAACTTCAATTAATTTTTATTTTTGTTAAATTCGATTGGTTAATTAAAATTTCATTTTTTTAACCTTGGTTCAATTAATGAACAAAACTAATTTGGCCAAAATGATTCGGTTAAGTTGGTTAAAAAAATTAGTTCAATTAAATTCAGTTAAGTCAAAAAATTTTTAGTTAATTTATTTCGGTTAAGAATATTATTTAAATTGACTGAATTAGCTGAATCTTCACCTGTAATGCCGTTCTAATTCAATTGAGTAATAAATTGAGTTTACATTAGAGGTAATATTTCATTAAAAAATATCAAATTTAAAATGATCGGTAAAGGTTCAGTTAAATGAATTAATCAAATTAATCGACTCTCAAAACTACGTCCTTTTGATTATATAGATAATAAATTAAAAAATATTTTAATTTTTTGATTAAACAGTGATTAATAAGTTCGGTTAATTTTTATTTCGGTTAAAGCCGGTTAATCATAAATTTCGGTTAAATTCAGTCGGTTAATTAAATTTTCATTTTCTTTAACTTTGGTTCGATTAATCATAAAAAATAATTCAACCAAAAAGATTCGTTGAATTGGGTTAAAAAATTAGTTTGGTTAAATCGAAAAATTTTTCAATAAATTTATTTCAGTTAAAAATATTACTCAAATTGACTAAATTGGTCAAATGCTCGCTCCTAGTTTACATTACTAAAAGAGCATTTTAGTAAAGTGTTATCATATTAATGGCTTCTAATTATTTTTTTAATTCTTGTATTTTTGAAAAATGGACATTGATGAAGGAACAGAGGGAGTAATATTTAAGAACGTCCGTGTAAATATTAATATTCTTCATCAAAATTAGTCTCTGAACTCAATATTCAAATATCAAATTCGTTAGAATTACTATTATTATAATAAAGCGCATATTAATTTTAAAGGAAAATTACCATTTTAATCATGCATTTACCAAATACAATATTACTACTGTAGTTTTAGAAATATATAGTTTTATTTTTATTTTTCGTCTTTGATTACATTATTATATCATTTTATCGAGTTTTTTTATTCTTTTTTTGCTATTTTATTGTATTTTGTCAAAATTTACTGATTTGTCATTGTATTTCTAGATTATTTTATCCTTTTATTTTATCTAAATTAACTAAAATGTCATTATCTTTAACGAAAAAGTTACAAAATATTAACAGCATGATATAACAATGTAATTCTAAAAATACATAGTACAGTCATATATTTTAAACAAAATATAATAATAAAAATAGTAATTTTCACTTGTTTTAATATGTATATAGATATAATTATTATGGTTCTAGAGACCGGGCCGACCAATTTGATCAGTTTAATCGAGAATCGGACCATAATCCGGTCCGAATTGACTATTTAAAATGAATGATAAAGAACCAAATTAGAACCGAATCAATCCGAACAAAATCGGTGAATTGAACAGATCGATGAATTCGGTTCAATTCAAATCTGCAAAAGAATTCCCGAAATTTATTATCTAGGTTTTTAGGACGCTATTTGATACTTATAAAAGAGGATTCTGCGGTGGTGCATGCCTTCAGTGTTACTGCGATGATCTGGATGGTTCTATTGGAATGTGGCCCAAATGTAGTGGCCACTGTCCTAATTTAATTAATAATAATATTGTGGTTATTATTATTATTAAGGACTCCTAATCCTATTTGGTCTTTAATTCTAATTATTAGTGAATTAAATCTCAACCGTTCATTGATTACTTGATGGACGTACCAAATTAAAGTTGTAGATATATAAATTGGTCCTCTCCACCTATTAAGGTAACGGACATCAGTTCCATCAAAGTACTCTATGACATACAGTGGGCCGAGGAGGGAGAAATCAATTTTGTTAACAAAGACGGGTCTAAAAATAACTCTGGCATTTTCTACTTCAGTTATGCATTAATTTTTATTGATTCAATCCCATGTATAAAGAATTCAATTCCTTAGCCATATTTTCTGATAATGTATGTTTATTAAACATTTATGATAATTATGTCTAAAAAAAAGCAGAATTAAAAAAAATTATTGATGCTGCTATTTAATTGATTAATTAATTAAGTGGTCATATTAATTAATTAAATATTTTATCATGTAACAAATAATATTTATTCATGATTGTTATTGAATTTATATGATTAAATGTAGTTTATTATTTAATGGATGTTTTGAATTTACCCAAAGGTAGATTATTATTTATTGCTAATAAACATAATAGGGAAATTTAACAATCTCTTGTCAAATATGGTTATATGTCAAACCTGTAGTATATTCTAAATGTTTAATTGTTTGAATCCATTAATTTATTGAGCATTTATGTATTTTTAGTTGTTTCTCTTTATTCGCATGCTTCCTCTGTTACCGTGTTCAGTGGGGTGAATTTCTCTTAATAGTCAATTTCCATTTAGGTATTTTTGATCTTGACTTTAACACTTTTGGAAGATAAAACATGTTGCTATTATTGATACAAGCAATGAGAATGAGAAATCACACCATAAGGCATGAGATAGATCTAACAACTTATGTATTAATATTCATGCAATGACTATTGCCAACAATATTAAGATAGATTACTATTCCACAAACTGCAACTACTAAAGAATATCTTAAGCTTGTGGAAGAACATTTCCGTTCTACGGATAAGTTTCTTATTGGAACATTAATGACTAAACTCATGACCATGAAGTATGATGGGTCACGAAGTATGCAGCAACATGTCATCGAGATGACAAATATTGCAGCAAAACTGAAAATCCTAAGTATGACAGTTGATGACTCCTTTTTAGTGCAATTCATTATGAACTCGTTACCTCTTGAGTATATGCCTTTTTAAATTAACTATGACACTATAAAGACCAGGGGAATGTTAATGAATTAGCCAATATGCTCACTCAAGAGGAAACGAGATTAAAGAATCAAGGACTTCCTTCTATTAATCTAGTGGGTCAAGGAGCTAGTAAGACTTATAAGCCAAAGGCCAACTAATTGAATAAGGCATCTGCTAAAGATACACAAGTTGTTGCTGATGAAAAGGAGGAAAAGAAAGATAAATGTTGTTTTTGTAAGAAAGAGGGACACGATTAGAAATATTGCTTAAAACGTAAAGCTTGGTTCGAAAAGAAAGGCACATTTAATATTTTTGTATGTTTTGACCTAAACTTAACTGAAGTTCCTTCTTATACTTGGTGGCTTGACTTTGGTGCTACTACTCATGTTTCCAATATGATGTAGGAATTCCTTACGATCCAAACCAAAAATCTAATTGAGAACTTTTTATTTTGAGAAACTATATGAAAGTCCCAATTGAAGGCATGAGAACTTATCATTTAATTAGATACTAGTCATCACCTGGATCTAATGCATACTCTCTATGTACCTTCAATTTTTAGAAACTTAATTTTTGTTTCAAAATTTGATGGTGTTGGGTTTACTTTTAAGTTTGGACATGGTTGTTTTAGTTTATTTAAACATAATTTCATTATTGGTCATGGAATTCTTATGGATGGTTTATATTAAATTAAAACTTAATGAT